ACTAGTTGCAGAATTTATGCCCAATGAAACATTGGCAAAACATTTATTTCACTGTAAGACCATTGTATATATAAGCTTTCTTTCATTTATCCTGATTGGCAAAATTTCATTTTTATAAAAAGAGGATTGTAATACGTATACTAGTATTAGTATATTATCACTCAGTTTCATTATATATCATATTATCATTCAGGGGATACACAACCAATGAAGTGGGCAATGCGGTTAAGAGTTGCATTATACCTTGCACAGGCTCTAGAATATTGCACAAGCAAAGGACGTGCACTTTATCATGATCTTAATGCTTATAGAATAGTCTTTGACAATGTATGTATGAAGGAGTTTTTTTAATCATTTTTTTTTTAAATTTCCTACTCAGCTTTATGTTTGCTTGCGTATAATTGTAGTCATTGACCATAGATATTCCCCCTACTTCATAGGACTGTAATCCCAGGCTCTCTTGTTTTGGTTTGATGAAGAACAGTAGGGATGGAAAAAGTTACAGCACAAACTTGGCATTCACTCCACCTGAATATTTACGGACAGGTAATAACGCTTTCAGATGTGATTATTGTTGAGCGTATTATCATTCGTAAATTGCTGCACCTAGAAAAAATGAAATGCACATTTGTGACTCCCCTAACTTGATATTGCCCTTCGCACTCAAATTTATTGTAATATGATCTCAAATAATAAGGATTGTGCTCTTGGTGTCATGGCAATATATTTACTACCTTAAGCACGTTATTTTGCATTGTGCACGTATATGCCTTCTTCTTTTTTTAATATAACTACATTATAAGCACATGTATTTTCTTTGGAACTTTTGTAGGAAGAATCACTCCTGAGAGTGTCATGTATAGCTTTGGAACACTGTTGCTTGACCTTCTTAGTGGAAAACACATTCCTCCAAGCCATGTAAGTCTTGTTCCTGTTAATTTGTTTGTTTTTTGTCGACTTGACAAATCTTTTACGTATAAGGTTCTTTGATATGTGGGGGGGGGGGGGAATCTGTTGGTGCTAAGCATTACCAATATTAAGTGCATCGTAGATTAACAAAGACCATTCTTTGAAATTTCTGTTCATTTTCCATGATTGTGATTATGCAATGAGCACTGAGTTTTTGTTAATATCAAAATCACATGACTATTATAGTAGTTACTATTGGAAGCTATGACCCTCAGTCAAATGTATTGATCATACTCTTTACCAGGAGGAAGGGTCAGGCCTTCTTGCTAGTATGGGATATTTATTATTATTATTATTATTATTATTGTTGTTGTTGTTGTTGTTGTTGTTTTAGTTTCCTTCCTCCTTGCTCTTCTTATTGCTAAAATAGATTTCACTTTGTTGATATTCAAAGCTGCTGATTGCTTTTTAACATTGCACTCTAAACTTTCATGTGAATAATCAGAATACATTTAACTATTAAATTAGTATTTGTATAATCCAAAATGCCACATAAGTAATCTGAGTTGATTGCAAGAGAGCATGACAGATTGGAACTTCAGGAAGCTCAAGATATATCTACAAAAGTAAAAAATTTTGCAGAATTTTACATCTTGTACATGATTCATAGGAGGGGTTGACATATTTTCTTCATTGGTGATGATGAGTAATGATTAATAAAAGGCATTTAAAACTCAGGCTGACATGAAATAATTGACTAAACGCTTATAATCACAACTATCAGGCTATTAAAATGTGGGCATCATCAGTATTTACTTTAAATGTGGGTTCTCCCTTTGACAATCGTGAAATAGCTAATATACTTGAGACAAGTTCAAAAATATTTTGCTAAGCAGCTATCATTTGTGCATTTTCTTTTTTAAATATAAAATTTGTCTCCTGACCTCTGTTCATTTGCTTGCACCTGCTTCTGGTATATTTCTGGGTTTGGTGATTCAGATTCTGTTTGTCATTTGTTCCTGAAATTGTTGGGTAAAGTCTTATGCAACTTTATATATTCTGGCTAGTATGTCATATTTCCCATGCATTTTCTAACTAATATTGTTGTAATTAATTTTCAGGCGCTTGATCTGATTAGGGACCGGAATCTTCAGATGCTAACTGATTCTTGTCTAGAAGGTCAATTTTCTAATGATGATGGAACTGAGTTGGTCAGAATAGCCTCTAGATGTTTGCAATCTGAGCCCCGTGAACGACCAAATCCAAAGTCATTAGTTGCAGCATTAATTCCTCTTCAGAAGGAAACTGAGGTTTGTTCTTTTGCTCTGGCCTCAGGAGTTTCAACTGTTACTGTTTTATTTATTTCATTGTTTAGTCTTAGAAAATGCCGGGCAACAATTCCTTCATTCCTTGGATCCTCTTGTTGGCAAACATGTTAAGGGAAGGATTTTTTCAACATAAGCTGTCGATGGATTGGGAACAGACTTCTAAATTTCAACAAACTTCTAAAATTTAAAGGATTTATAGATTTTGTATTTTAAAAGTTAAGAAATCCCAGTAAAATCTTCTGGTTTTTAACAGTTGCATGAGACTTGATTTTAATAGTTCTGTATCTAGTTTACCATTTTGTATAGGTCTTTGTGATATTGATCAGCACCTAAAATGCACAAAGAGAGACATGTGTGTATGTGTGGTGGATTATCTACTAAACTTTGATATGGGCATGACAGAGTTTTGGTTATTGCTTTGCAGGTTCCATCTCATGCATTAATGGGCATACCAGGTGAGAGTGAACCTATGCCCCTATCTCCACTTGGTGAAGCTTGCTTGAGAAAGGACTTCACTGCTATACACGAAGTCTTAGAAAAACTTGGGTACAAAGATGATGAAGGAGCAGCAACTGAGGTTTGTCTATTTATAGCTATTTTTTTTTTTTTTTAATTTTCTGTTGCTAACATATTGTCTTGCTTATAATCTTATGCAGCCTAATGCATACTTGGTAGCTAACCACAGCAGTTTCCTGTTTAACTTGAATTATTGTTGCTTGCAGCTTTCATTTCAAATGTGGACCAATCAGATGCAGGAAACATTGAATTCCAAGAAAAAGGGGGATACTGCTTTTCGGCACAAAGATTACAGGGCTGCAATTCAATGCTACACACAGGTTAGTGGTTGAGTTACTATAACAACAGGATTATTAGTGGGTTGCCTCATGTTCTGTTGTAGGGACTAAATGGATTAGTGATCAGATTAGTAATTCCATATTTCCATGTTTGGTAGGTACTGCTATTCGCTAGATTCTTTAGTGAAGAAAGGGATTAAAATCACCTCTCCCCTTAGAGATATTTAATCCCAACCAACCAGGATAGGTGAGCCCTATTTCACCTAATCCTGTTCTAATAAAATAACACCAGACATGGAGTTGGGGGGATTATCAGCCCAATTCACATTAATCCCTCACTCCAGACAAAATTACCCCCAGGGTGAATGTCCTATGGCCCGGGCTTCTCAAACCAGATTTGTTTGGGATGTACTTGCTTGATTGTGGCAGCCTCTCTCTCTCTCTCTCTCTCTCTCTCTCTCTCTCTCTCTCTCTCTCTCTCTCTCTCTCTCCGTTTTATTTTTTAAATCTACATATTTCCCCCCTGACACTTAATCTGACAAGGTTAGTAACCTTATAGATGGACCTCCCATGTGAAAAGATAACACGAGATAACTAATTCGTGATTTCATCTCTTTAGATTGTTTTACAACTGCCATAAATCGACTAAACTGGTATTCCTTTAGTGAGGACTGGATACTTCCTTCAACTCCCTTCAAGCTTCTGAAAGCACTCACTTGACTCATTTCTTTCTTGGTTCATAGTTTATCGATGTTGGAACCGTGGTCTCCCCAACTGTGTATGCTCGGCGTTGTCTATCTTATCTCTCGAGTGATATGCCTCAGGAAGCCCTCAATGATGCAGTACAAGCTCAAGTGATATATCCTGTTTGGCATATTGCAGCATATTTACAGGCTGCTGCACTTTTTGCATTGGGTAGGGAAAATGAGGCGCAAACTGCCCTCAAAGAAGGCGCTGCACTTGAGGAAGAGAGGAATACAACTTCCTAAAATCATGAGTGAATTCAACATAAACTTATCTTTTAAGCCAGTCACAATCTTCTTTGTTTTCAGCTGAAATTGCAGACCCTTCAACTTCTAAATGTAAAGGCTAATTCAGTACAGCCACGACGTGGAACCTGCATGCGTGAATTCAGTCTGGTTTCATATAAAACATTCTTAGGACAATTGAATGGTAGATCTTAGTCAGCTCAGGGATGATGGTAAGATGATTCCACTCGCTATTCATAAGTGTGGCCCCGGTTCCAGTTCCTCGTCTGTTTCCATTTTCCAATAACAAAAATCAGAGAAGGGGTCAATGTGATGCACGGCAATAACATGATAATAAAGGTTTCAAGACCAACAAGTGAAGTTGGAGAGGTTAGACATGCTGTAATTTATGTACAGTGCTATACGTGGTGTTCTGAGAGGAGATTGGCTCTTTCATTTCTCTCTCTTTTGCAACTTCGAATTGGTTTCTGCAATTGTATATTATTTCTTGCTTAAGCTATTGCATTGTGGGGTTGATTTATAAACTATTGCTTTAACCTTGTGGGGAGTTCCTGAAAACATTTTATATTTGAATAGTGTTTTTGCTCTTGTTGTTTCTGTGTATTTATTTTTATTTTAGAACTTTGGGTTAATGAATAATGATGGTTCTTAGTAAGGAGTCTTGGAATGCAATTACCTTAAACTTCTAAGGCAAATGTAAACGCAAGAAGCTGAGCAGCAAGAATAGATTAGGGTGTTTGGTAAATAATTGTTAGATGTTAGCTTGATAGCATTAGCTTATTGTAGAAAGATGTTTGGTAAAATGACTTTCTCAAAAAAAAAAAAAAAAAAAAAAAAACTCATTGAAAAGGTTGTTACAAAAAGTTAATTAATCAGACATTTATATTGAATGTTTAACCAAGTCAAACAATTAATAATGATCAAATAAACTAAAATTGGCTGATAGGCTAACTATGTTACCAAACAGAGCCATTATTTTTCAATTTCCAACACAGTAATATATTATGAATACATAATATAATACATTAATACAAGCTAATCATGGGTTTGATGGCCCCAATAAATTTGGCTTTTCCTCGTCTATAAGCGGTCACCAACTGAGCTACCCGTTTTCCTACTTTACGAAATAGCTTAACAATTTCTCTAAATCCTCCTATGAATTTACATTCTCATATTGGAACTACAAAGGGTTACATCAAGGATCCTGGAGTGTTTAGTGAGACTTGGTTGATCCAAACTGCCTTATTCATTACCTTTCCATGCTTCTGGGACATATATAAATACCAAATGAATACCCAGCAGCAACAAAGCACTGGAATCGAAAGAGAAATAAACAAACATGCATTCCTTCCCCCCAGCATTTCAAGATGGCAAGTTCTCAGAAACACACATATCGTTACTTATCTTTAGGTCTTTGCCATAAGCAGCAATAAGTAGAGCCTCAGCTCGACCTGGAAGGTTCAGAATTGGAGTTAGTATATGCTACAGAGCAAGAAATAAAAACCATCCCCCAGCTGAAGTTGCTACGAAGTGTCATAACTACTAAACAACATAGAGAAAGTAGAGCAGAAAATTTGGCAGAAAGGTCAACCCCTATCTCTTTTTGAACACTGCTAAGTGTTCAAGTTGACATGGGATTGAGTACAATCCACAAGTTCATTTATCGGGATTAATCACTTAAAATGTTATCATGAAAACGAAAGAAGATACTAGTAACCCATGAATCCAGTATCCATGAAGAAAGTGGGTGTCAAAAAATTTCAAATTTCGTAGGGAATGGGTTCACTGTTCTCCAATTATAGATATTGGTTGGAAGTCTGCTCTTATGATGATTAAATATTGAACAAAATAAGAAGAAAACATGAATATTAGCAATGAACTCTACAGCTCATCCTAAAACAAGATAGCATAGCAAAATGAAGAAGAAGTCAGTGCACGAACCATGATCTTTCTTCCGTTTTAACTGTGAACTCATAGATGGAAACAATCTGGATGCAACCTCCCTACTATCATCCTGGCAATACATTTTATGGATCACACAGTATGTAGCAGAATTTAGTGAACAAATGAACAAACCAGAACTCAAATGAGTAGTTAAAATGAAGACCTCAAAGCCGGCTAACACTATATTAGAAAGATCAATCGCACCTTATTTGAGCGACTTCCTGCTAGTTTAAACTTGTTTTTCCACAACAATGATGGTACTGGAACAACAGAAAATCCCAAAGTGACTAAGATTCCTATCCATAATCCATACCCAAATCCTCCACTCCACCAGCCCTTCATATGCAGGAAAAATAAATTAAAATAAGTATAATGGAACGAGATGGAGTATGAAGAAAGAAATTTGAGGCTTGAGTATAAGAGATCTTATCATTAACATTAAGCAAATGAGAAAATTGGCAATTACGGAGTATTAATTATTCTCCTTAGAAGTTTTGCAGGAAAGATTGGTGTTCAAATTATCGTCATTTCATGCAAATAATTCCCTCTGAGAGTGCACATTGATTATATCTCCACTAGCTGGGCTTGTATAAGTGCCCATTGCAGATGAGAATGCTAACCTGTTTACCATCTTGTGGGAATGGAATTGATTGCTCAACATATGCAATTGTTCCTGAAAGCAAAAAGGAAAAATGAAGAGAGGAAATAAAGGAAAAAGAGATAGAAAATAACATGAAAGCAGAGTTTCTGAACAAAATGATAGATACAAAGTTATCCAGAAAAGCACTGTTGCTAATAGAGATTGGATCTCTAGAAAAATCATAGAGCAAACTGTATTTCATTTCCACTTCCTAGAGACAATACGATGCTCTGAGAAATTTCTATAACAAATGATTACTGCATTTCTTTCTATCTGCATATATAAACAGAAATCAAATAATATTGCCTTCTTGTTGTTAGAAAAGCCCCCAAAATTACAATGACACAATTTGTCGGTTCATTCATATAACAAGAGTCTCTTTATCTCAAAGAACTTTATTCATAAAATTGTGGCTTATTATTTTCTATTCCTTTATTTTTCCTCAAGATTTGTGTCCTCAGGGAGAGGGGAGAGAGATGGGGAAGTAGAAGAGTCGGAAAATTTAAAAGTTAGCAACTTCTTACTGTTCAGTCAACTGTGGCAGATAATAATCAGAAGAGCATTTTCATTTTAAGTTCTAAATTATATCAAATAAAGGAAAGAAATAAACTGCTATCAGAATTTATTTATTGCTGTAGATTACCAACGGGAACTTCAAAACTTTGAAGCAACTGAACGATGGATTTTGCATCTAAACGCCTCCGTACTCCTTTCCCAACCATTACTTTCAAGTAAGGAGAATCAAAGACCTGTAATGGATAAGAAAGCTATATACAATGAATAGTTATTATAATGTTGATTGAACACAAATACTGCTATAAAAGCTTAAATGGAGAAAATACATGAAAGCATGTTCAAGAGAACAGTTATCCCTTATTACAGTCATTAGTAATACAATGAACTACAACTGTTTCAGAGGTGACTATTTGACTATTTGATCAACATTTTTTAGACAATTTCAAGTTTATCACTAACAGGTATATTCCCAGCTAGGTCCACAAAGGTGAAACCAGCTGGAAATATACTTCCAAAAACCAAACTATATGAAAACTTATCCTGCAATATACAATAAATTATCAGACAGATACTTCAAAACCACCCAAAAATGTCCACGACGTTTCCAGCAATCAAGCTTCTATAATAGAAACTAAAATGCCCAATAACTAGAACACGAAGGCTGTTTCCTTTTCACTTCTACTGTTCCCAGTCTACCTGATTCTTCTCCTGTGCTATTATCTAGCAAGAACATCTGTGCATTTTTCATAGGAAATCTATGCAGCAAGACTGTTCCTTTTTATTTTCGGTTATTCTAATATGGGAATCACTTCCAAATTCCCAAGTGCCAACTGCCAATTCGCAGAAGAAAAGCAATTTTATCAACAACTACAATAGTAGTAGAAAATTTAAACTTTGCAGAAGAAGTCCTTTCAGAAACTCAATGAGTTTCAATATGTTTAGAGTTTGGTTAAATATATATCATCTTATATACACAGTTTTCTTTTTCTTTGAATAAATGCTTCAACTTCAACAATTTTCAGAAAGCAAGTGGTGAAAAGAGATTCGAAGTTGGATATACCTTAATGAAGCTGAAATTGCAGATTTTTAAAAGCAAGAAAAGCTCAAAATACCTAAATAAATTTCGAAACTTGTATACAAACATCGGCTACGCAAACATAGTAGGCAAATTGTGAAATTCAGCAATGATTTGCAAGGAAGGGCACAATGGACAGCAAAAGCTGCAAATGACTAGTGGAGTTAATTCAAAACAAAATCGCATTAAAGCTTAAGATTACTTGAGCAGACTGGTCTGGTTTTAGTAGGGCGAAGGCTCCAGAAACATCCGGGTCGACTCCAATTACCCAGTCAGGCGACGGCTTCGCGTGAGGAAAAGGGCAAGAGAGAGCATTCAGCCACTTCTCCTTCAGCTCAGCTTTCTGAATTTCCTTGCCGCCCCTCCCCCTACCTCGTCCGCCGTTTTTGACAAAATCCTGAGGCTCAAACGTCACGGCTGGCCGCTCTAGAGTTGGAGGCGCGGCAACGACTGTGGAAGTAGAGGCTGAGAAGACCCTGAACGCAACGGCTGAAGAGGAGGCAGTGAAGCGGTGCGGTTGGAAGACGGTTGGGGAAATGAGCGTAGGTTTCACTGCGAGTTTCGACGGAAGGAAGGATTCCATCAAAAGAAAACAGGCGGACTTGAGAAGAAAAGCCCCCAGATTTTGAAATGCAATGTGTAATTCCTTCTGGAGCCGCTGCGGTGGCCGGACACGGCGGCGGACTTCGAGCTTTAAGCGAGCGCTTCCAGTATCCCCACCGTAATGCACCGGATCAACTTCTTTGCTGCTATGCTAGTGACGGAGTGAAATGAGCCGTGACAATGTTGCCCATAACAATAATTTGAATGGTTTAATTAGGGGGAATGAAATTGTAATTTGGTATGAAAATAAGGTAATAATTTAAAGAGTAAATACTCAAAATGGTCTCTTGACTATAGCTAAATTCATAAATTGGTCCTCAACTTTCAATTTCACCAAATTAAGTCCTTAATTTTGTAATTTTAACACAATTTGGTCATCTGTCTATTTGACCGTTTGTTGACTGTGATTTTTGAGGATATATATGTAATTTCATGGTCCATCGTCGGTTTTTTAAGGTTCCGGTTGCATTTCCAGACCGCACTGTTACATTTGAATCCACTGTCGAAAGCAATCTACCAAACCCGGTCACCTTTCTTCATCCTCCCTTTGGATTCAATGTAGTTGAATTCGTACCAGGGCGAAGAAGACGACGTGTTTCCGAACCGGTGCAACGTCATCCTGGAGGCCTCCACGTGCTCCGACGAGAGCTGAAGGTTCTTCTGGAGATCGTCGATCACGGTCAACAAACGGTCAATTTGATGGAGGACCAATTCGTGTCAAAATTGCAAAGTTAAGGACTTAATTGAGTGAAATTGAAAGTTGAGGACCAATTTATGAATTTAGCTATAGTCGAGGGACCATTTTAGGTATTTACTCTAATTTAAATGTCACGTATTTGGTGCTCAGATAATATGTAGTGTCCTCTTCTATGGAAAAGGCGTTATTGTTTGAATAGATACTACAATATAATAGAGTCAGTAGCATTCAAAAGAATGTAAGAATTAAAATTACATTGATAGGAATAAATAGAATATTAATAATAATCAACAGTTAAAAAAATATTTTTCTCCCTTTTCCTTTCCTTTTCCCATTAAGGTAAGAATTACAATTCAATCAAATGAATGAATTGTTTCCAACCAAATATTATAATTTAAATATGCAAAAAATTATGTTGTAATTGAATTATAATTATATACACCTATTAAAGTATATGCCTAGTTGTACTTGGATTGTGGGTTTAGTGTATTGCTTTGGATTTAATATAAAATTATGTAAGGGCCAAATCAAAATCGAACAAATATTTGGTTTAGTCTTAATGTCCACTCATAAAACAAAACATGACATGTGTAATGTAGTTCAACACATCCTTAATTTTTTTTTTTTTTTATTTTTTGGAATTAGTTACTTGTGTGTAGTCTAGCCATTATATATGGACCATAATATCTTTTTACTAAGTGATTTTGTGTGAAATATTTAATTCTAGTTGATATATATGTAGTATAAAATAAATGTATTTTCGAACTAACAGCTTAAACTTTAAATTGATACGAAATACAAAATTTAATTCCAAATACGGAACACATTTTTGTTCTTTGAAATATTTTAATACTTTTTTACTAAAGCTATCATATATCTTGGCAACATGGTACAGTGCCAACACTGTTGTCCAGTCATATGGGAAGAAGTTGAATTTGACTATTTGAGAGTCAAAATCCTTGGTCAATAATAATTCCAAGAAGAAGCACCCTAGCACGCACAGTCCGCATATTTTAATAGCAACCAAAAAACAAAATAAAAATAAAAGTCATTTATAATTCAAAACATGTAGTTATTGAGATTTGTAAGCATAGTTTATTTGTTGCAATAAATCTGAACAAAATAAATGTACTCATAACTAATTTCGTTCGCAACAATAATTTTACAAATCTATTAAAACTATATATGTCGTTTTTCAATTGGCAAAAAAATAAAAATAATTTCTTTTTTTCTTTCAAAAAGGTTTTGCATTATTATTATTATAGTAAAATGATTCATTAATTTCCTTTTTAATTTTTTAAAAAATAATCATCAACCTGTAAGCAAGCTTGCACGGGTCAAACCAAGAGATTTATTTTTGTTCATAGGTAAAAAATGTTCAATCCTAACACATGCATCCCTATCTTGAAGTAATTTAAAACTAACATATTATATATTTATATTAGTCTACCATGATATTAGTTGATCATAGAGGTGAAAGTTTGAAAGGAATGATCAGTCTAGCTAGTAAGCAAATGTTTAGCGTATGTGGTTCAGATGAGTTAGCATGATTTACATCCTTTCAGATATTTTGTCTCATCAAGGTATGTGGCCCTTGAAATTTGGGATTCAACACTATTCGTGCTTTTTTTTTAAGGTATACTTTTCTTTAATTGGAGAAATAAAAGTTGGAACCAATAAATGGTTGTCATTGCATGCATTCATTTCAATCACACACTTATTATAACTAATCTTTGGACTACCACTCAACTTTATCAATACCGCCCTAACCTACACGTAGTCTAGGATAGCTTTTACTAATAAACACCCGTCTAATCACGATCGTCTTCCCCACTATGAAAACTATATTGATGTATGAAGTTAGGAGGGGACAAAAACAAGTATTTTTTCTACTTTTATTAGTGTCTTCTACCCCTTTGAAGATTATTTTAGAGCCGATAATCTTTGCATGTGATGATGTGACGCACCCAAAATCCTTAAATTCAGGCCCAGTGGATTGTCATGGCCGGTATCCCTTCATCTTTTTCTCGCCCACCGTGATATAATTAAGCTTTTTTCCAATTCTATCAGAGCTAAAATGGAGTTTCAGTCTCCTTACGTGACGGCGCCGGCGAGTCCAATGGCGGGTTACGGCGGCGCGGGTAGCGCCGTCCAGTTCTACAGCGTTCCAGCTAGCCCGACTAGGGATGCCAATAATGCTTTTTCCGCGGGGGGTGGGGATGATGGGGCCAGTTCGTGCTCGAATTTCGACAGTTTTGAGTTTGAAACCAGCCGGAAATTCGTCGGCGCGGCGGGGGAGAGTGATCGCGGGGAGCGGCGGCGGGAACGGGGTGGGTCGCTTCCGTCTATGGCGTTTGCCGACCAACTGTTTGATAATGGGCGGGTCATGCCGATGCCGCTGAAGCCCCCGCCGCGGTTCCGGATTGACGGCGGCGGCGACGTGAAGAGCTGCAGCGAGCGGTTGAGCGGCTGGTCGTCGCCGAAGTCTCCGGCGGGGTCGGTGTTCAGAGTCCCGTTTTCTCGCCGGAATGTTTGGAACGACGACTATGATCCTTTCATGGCGGCGCTTCAGAAGGTAAAGGAGGAAAACAGAGGGAGAAAAAGCATCAGTATGTACGGCGACGGCGACGATCATCATCACCGCCGGACAAGATCTTTCTCGCCGTTCAAAAGAATCAACGGTGAGGATGAAACATGGGGCTTCAACAAGGAAAGCGTTATTGGGCCTGTAGAACCCAAAGCAGAGCCCGAGCCCAAACCCAAAGGCTCAATGTATGCAAGATGGGTTTTATACCAAACCCAAAACATGGGCCGAAGCCCAAAAACATCAACAACCAATAAGACACGGCCCAATAAGCCCACTTCAAATGGCGGGATTGCTCGCTCTGAGGATACCAAAATCCAGAAGATCAAAGGAATCATAGTGAGGTATACATCGTTTGGGAAAGAGAATGGGAATAGCAAAGGAAAGGAAGTAAAGAATCCGGTTTCGAGTATCTTGTCAAAGTCTAATTACTTCAAGAAATTCAGCTTCAAGTATGGGGGAAATCGACGCGAGAATAGAAATCAAAACCAGGATAAGAATGAAAACCGGAATGGGAATGGGAATGGGAATGGGAATGGAGAGTCAAGGATTGTCCTTGTAAAACTGCAGCCACCAATGTGTTTGGGATATGGAGTCCAGAGTCATAGGAACATGCAGAGAAGTGAACTATCAACTTAAACCCTTCCTAATAGAATTTTTCTTTCCCCCCACTTTTGGTCCATTCATTTTTGTATCATGATTGCATATATATAGTAATTGGTTATCATATTTTCTACCATTAATCTATCAATTTTAAATTTCTTATTAATTGGTTATCATATTTTCTACCATTAATCTATCAATTTTGAATTTCTTATTACTATGTCATTTTGACAAGTTTTCCGATTAAATATCGTCTGATTCCCATTAGAATAGTTTATTCATATGATATTTGACTGAAAAGTTTGTCAAAAAATAATTAATTTAGGCCATTAGGAATAGTTTATTCATATAATATTTGATTGAAAAGTTTGTCAAAAAATAATTAATTTAGGTGATATTTAGTAAGAAAACTTATCAAAAAGAGTAAAAGTGGTAAGAAATTCAAAGTTAATAGAATAATATTAGAAAAATAATAATCAAGAGGTATAAGTGAAATGTCACAAATATTAAAGGGCTAAAAGAGAAAATTGTCCCTTATTGTCGCGAATCTTGATGGGAGCAATGAAGGCACTTGCCCCCTCCCTCATCCCAGCGCTTATATATAGGTCTGTTTGGTAAAATAGGTAACTTTTATTCAATTTTGATTTATTTCATCACTATTAACTGTTTGACTTGGTTAAAAAATCAATATAAGTGTTTGGTTAATCAGCTTTTTGTAACTCCAAAATGTTAAAATTTAAAAAGTTGCTCAAAGAACTTTTTCAATTAGTTTTTTGAGAAAAGAAATTATATCAAACAGTTATCAGCTAACAACTAATTTATCAAATATCTTTCTACCATCAGCTAATATTATCAACTAGTCATACCATCTAACCCAATCAGCTAACATTCATTTACCAAACAGGGACAATATGGTCCCTATATATATGTGTGTGTAAAGATTATTAAAATATTAACTAATTTGGTAAGAGGAAAGGTTCAAAAATCTATTGCTTCAAAGTCTCTACAAGAGGAACTGAAGGGAGCTAAGAACATCTACTGAACAAATTATGTATAAAGTGGAAACAATTAATGAGTAATAAATTGTTCAATAACCACTAAGATCTGTGGAGAAAGGCAACTTGTGGCATTGCCAAAACACCCTTCTGGCCTTCTTCTTCTTCATACTTCCTTCTGTTTTAGACCATTCAAAACTGTTCTGATCTGCCAAACTGCATAAACTCATTCTTTCTGCAAAATCATCTATTCCAACATATCAGCAGGCCAGTGCTGCCTCCACATAGAAATTTCGGCGTTGCTGTCAAGTTTGCGTATTCCTCCATAGAACC